ACCTTAGCTTAACATTCTGGAAACACAAAAAAATAAAAAATCTGCCGACCTCTAAAGTTCACTAATTAACACGTTTTATCTTGTTTGTTTAATTCACACAAACATTGAAGTGTAAAATAGGCAGGATGTGGTTTTACGGGAGGTTATGTGCAGGTATATTTCTTGGCCAGGTACAACGCCTTCCTGGCCTCAACTTGTTGCCTGGCAACCTCACGGTAAAGAAGACAGGAAATGTTTTTGCACAGATTAAACCTGTGAGATAGAAAAGATAATAGTGAGCTTTAGAGGTACTTTTCTTACCTTTGGGAGCAAAGCTAGCTGTTCCCCCGTTTCCAGTCTTTGTGCTAAGCTAAGCTAATGAGTGTATTTCACAAAAACTATTCCTTTGAGTATTTAATTTTTGCTTCTGGCTTTTTCTCTCTTTCTTTTCTGACATTCTCAACAGGAATGTTCACCTACGACGACAACACCAAACTTTTTTGGTTTAATTCGTCCTCACTGGAGAATGAAGCGCAGTACACTCTCGTTGGACTCGTCCTCGGGCTCGCCATTTACAACAACTGTATCCTGGACGTACATTTCCCTATGGTTGTTTACAGGAAACTCATGGGCAAGAAAGGGGCCTTCTTGGACCTGTCGGACTCACATCCAGTACAGTAACTTTCTCCAAACTTAATTTACAGTCAAAGACAATACATCAGCTCTGTATTTCCAAACATTTAGAAAACGCCTTCTATTGTGTATGGTGTTGTAATGTTACTGGTAAGATCAAGAAAGCAGATTTAAGTGTTGCTGGAAAGAAACCACAAGCATAAAGCTAAATCTTTATTCACTCATTAACTTTTAGCATATAAAAAAAACTGTTGCACTGAATGACATTTTTGGAAATACACTTCTTTTCTTTTTTGCCGAGAGTTAGATGAGAAGATCAATACCACTCTCATCTGAAACTAAAGCCAGGTGACCGTTAGCTTTTAGCTTAGCATTAAGACTGGAACCAGGGGGTAAGAGCACGCTTGGCTCTTGTTGTCACGTAACGTTGCCAGGCAACCGTTGAAGATGAGGCCACCAAATACAGAACATAGCGGGTCGTCCACTAATCAGAAGGTTGGTGGTTCGATCCCCGGCTCCTCCTGCTGCATGTTGAAGTTTCATTGAGCAAGAGACTGAACCCCAAATTGCTCCCGATGCTATTTCATTGGTGTGTGTGAATGGGTGGGCTATATAAGTACAGTCCATTTCCCATTAACATAACCTCCCACACATCTACAACTTGCCATTCTTACTCTACCGTGTAAGTGAGGTTTACAGGTGCTGCTGAGTGGATTTAAATTTGTCTAACAGAGACAGGCTAGCTGTTACCGGTCTGTATGGTAAGCTAAGCTTACTGTCATCTAGCTGTACCTTCACGTTTAAAGGACAGATGAGATGAGATGGCAGTGATCTTCTGAACAAACTCTTGACAAGAAAGCAAATAAGCATATTCTGAGAGCATTTTTTTAACAACAGACGTTTCTTCTTTTCTTGTTGCAGGCTTTGTACCAGAGTCTGAAGCAGTTGCTCGAGTATACCGGCAATGTAGAGAAAGACATGATGCTCACCTTCCAGATATCACACACAGACCTTTTTGGAAACCCGGTCTTATATGACTTAAAGGAACAGGGAGACCAGATGCCTGTTACTAAGGAGAACAGACAGGTAAAATGTCTGAAATGATTTTGTCTAGGCCACAAAACTGTTCTGTGTAAAGGATAGTTCGGTTAATTTATACAAGAGCTGAAGTAACTATCATGGTAGAAGAGAGAGTGATTTAAAGTCAGTACAGGGGTTCGATGTGAATTCCTCACCAAATTAAAAAGTAATTATACAATTGCTGTTGTAGATACTGTCTAGCTACAATATTATTAGAATCAATGAGGGACACATTTCTTGTTCCTTTTTTCTTTTATTTATACATTTCACAAGCTCAGCAACAGGAACTCGATGTATATGAAATGGCTGAAAATGATGCAATTCAGCCATTTCCTTGAGACATTCTTTCCTCTGTTGAAAGTGTATAGAAACAACACTTAAAATGCACAGAATACACTGACTCACTGTTGGTTGAAGGTTTACATTCACTTTACTGCTGTTATGGAAGATGGTAAATAATGAGCAGTTTATTTTCTGTATATTTAACAGGTGTTGTTGCTTTTTTTTTTGACAGGAGTTTGTGGACCTGTATACTGAGTACATACTGAACAAGAGCGTGGAGAGACAATTCAAAGCCTTCAAAAAAGGTTTCCTAATTGTCACAAATGAGTCCCCACTTAAATATTTGTTCAGACCTGAGGAAGTAGAGTTGCTTATCTGTGGAAGCAGGGTGAGGACAAACCTTAATTTATATTTTTGTTATTTTATTGCAGCCAGTGTTTTATGACTTACAGACTAATCTCTTCACAGAAACTTGACTTTGAAGCTCTTGAAAAGACAACAGAATACGATGGAGGTTATAGCAAAGACAGTCAAATCATCAAGTAAGTCAGAGTTTCCTTTTTTTCCCACATACACCAGCTAAGTCATAATCTAAAGACATATTTTTAGCTGCAAGACTTAGACTGATTTTAGCAGTCAGATCATCGTTGGTTAAAGTTGTCTGTTACTTTCTGCATACAGAGACTTCTGGGAAACGATTCACTCGTTTGGAGAGGAGCAGAAGAGGTTGTTTCTTCAGTTTACCACCGGCACAGACAGAGCACCTGTCGGCGGACTCGGAAAATTAAAAATGATCATCGCCAAGAATGGCTCCGACACAGACAGGTACAGAAGAGTCACCCTTTGGGGTTTTTCTATCATCAAACATACTGTTTTTTTTTTTTTCATTGTGTCATTCAAAACAGTCTGTTGATGCCCAAACCCACACGATAAGCTTCTCTCAGCTCACATTTATCCCATTTTTGCTGTCAGGCCCAGCAGTACTCTTACTTTCTCATCCTTTCTTTCAGGCTACCAACCTCTCACACCTGCTTTAATGCACTGCTGCTCCCAGAATACTCCTCTAAGGAAAAACTGAAAGAAAGACTCCTCAAGGCCATCACTTATGCCAAAGGATTTGGGATGCTGTGACAGGTCCACAAAGAAGCTTTTGTGACTGCATTTTAATAAATAAAAAAAAGGGAGTATCACAAAAATACAGAGCTAAATGACATGAAACAAAGTGCTGCAATAACCCTGTGCCTAACCAGCCCTTACCATTCATACTCCACTGTCGGCCTTTCACTCTGAGGCTGAACTTCCATTGAGTTAGTTTCATATACAGTAGATTAGGTTTCCCAAAGAGTTTAACACGACACTTAAATAATTTATTTTTTCTTGTGTGTTTTGTTTCTGTGCAACCATGAACAATATTTCATTTGTGAAACTGTGAAAGTGCACTTATACACAGGTTTTTATTAAATGACAGCACATAGACTCTGTTTAAATTCTCATGTTTTTCAGTTCCTCATGGTGTAGCAGTATTCAGTCTTCAGGCTCTCTTCCCACAACTGAGTGGACTGAGCATAATGGTGCTCCTTGGTTATGATTGTCATTGTAGTATATTGAGGTGAAGCCTTTCATAAAACTGCTAATCCAAATAGCCTCTCTGAAAAGCTTATATTTGAACAATTTCCTGTCGGCGTGAGAGCAAACTCACCACTAACCTAGAGGTTATTTTAAAGTATTTCTGTGCTGTGCCTGTTATATTACATAGAACATGAATACTGTGTGTTGTGAGACAGTGAACCTGACCAGATAGTGTGGTTTCAATAGCTTGCAAGGTTTTAAAATGTAGTTACTGACTGGTCAGTTTAGACTTTCACATCCTGAAAGAAGTGTTTCTCTCCCCTTGGTTTGTTTGCTATTAAGTGTTCCTGATTGCACAGTTGTAAGTGCAGTTGCCAAATGTGCAATGCCTATATAAGGAAAAGAGTCACATGAAATGTTTTATTTGGCCAAATATCTCAGGTACATAAGGAATGTGCAAATAATGTGAAACTCTTACGTAAAGCAACTATTATGCAAAGTAAATAAAGGTTAAAAAAAGTATTGACATTGTCTTTAATATGAACTGAAGGAATTTCTTCTAACAATATACGACTGCAGTTTCTCTCTCTCTATACGTAGCTTTATAGCATCTTTCAGCTCATGGTTTTGCAATTTTACTGTTTTGTTTAGTCTCGTTCTTATGGCGTAGTTTTTGGCCACAGCAGTCAACTGTTTACAGTAAAAAGCTCTAAAAATCAACTGTAAACTATCTGCTCAGCACTGATCTTTGGACAGACAAAGTTAGCAAGCAGCTCATCAACATAGAGGAGCATTAACATGTAGAAGCTAAACATGCATATTTTTCAAAGAGGTTGATTAAGAGCAAAAACAGAGCCAAAAGGAGAGTAAATATTGGTTTTACTTTAACTGGCTGTCCAGTAACATGACTCCAAGTAAGTGCTTATGTTTCTCCACATCTCCCAGATGTGTAATTAAGAAACTGCCAACAAGTTCGCCTCATTACCTTAAAAACACGTCAGTGTTATCATCTTATTTCTTCTGCCTTCAAGTGGCCAACAAATGCACATTTAAAGGGCCTGAAAACGAGTTTTCTCTATCATGTTCTTACTACCACTAATGAGATCCTACATTACCACAAAACAGTGGAGGTCAGATCGAAAAAGGTAGTTGCACGAATAGAGATTAATCAGCATTGTAGGTTTGATCAATCAAATCTAATCAAACCATACCCACACAGGTTGGATGAAGCAGATTAATTCGTTTCTGAGTGTTAAACTCTTTGTGTTTTAACTGATAATTGCTTTTATAGTAATTAATATTTAAACCATAGAGAAATACTTTAGATTTGAAGCCAGGTTCAGGGGCTTTAAAGTCAGTAAAGACAGTTTAATGAGACTGAGAAACAATCCAAAACGATGTATTATACTGTAATAGTCACACTCTTTTCTACAAAATGACTCTCTAGACACACAGTATATGTTATATGAACATTTTAATGTTTATTTACATATAACATTGCAATTTAACAACTGATGTATGCTGATAGTAACTTATAAACAGAACTGCATTTGGGTTTATTTTGTACATTCACATATCGTATCAAATGAATATTGCAGTTGCATTATTACGTATGAATTGTACTTCATACTTTACAGATCAATATATTTTCTGGGGAAAAAATTTCAATATCAGGAAAAAAAAACATTCCTCATTATTCTAAGGCTATGAAAAGCCATTTGTTTGCATACACGAGTGCTTCTGACCAACATGCTCAAGCAGTTCCATGACCACGAAATTGGTTGTCAATCATAGCATACACCCAAAAATATTCCTTTGCTGCATACACTGTACACAATTTGACACATTATGATCATAATAAACACAGATGTATAAATAGATATAAACATGGACCTTAAAAAGTGTCACTCTACCATTTACTGAAAAATCCCTTCATTTCCTGTAAAGTCCTCCGGTACGTGTCTCAGATTACTGCACTTTTTTGTCTTTGTCGGCCACCACTTCTGCCAGGTCCTCCGGTCGAATGGATTTCACTTTGGCCTCCATCTCAGTGACCCTCTGCTTCATTCTTGTCTGGCTGGAGGTTAACTGAGCCATCAGCTGAGCGAATTTGGTCTGCATGACGTCCAGGTTGCTCTGCAGTTGGACAATCTTCTCCTCCAGGTCTTTGGGGTCGGCGCCAGCGTTGGCTACCGCCTCATCAATCAGGTTGTCTTTCATCAGAATGGCTTTCCCCTTCTCCTCCAGAGCTTTTTTAGCATCTGGATACTCAGTGAGAGCTTCCATCAAGTCGTCCTTGGACAGGGCAAAGAGATCAGAGTAGCCTACGCTTCTGATGTTGGCTGTTCTCCTGTTGCCTGCTTTACTACCCTTGATACCCAAGATGCTGATTTCCCCAAAGTATGCGCCATCGCTGAGCACTACAAACTGAGTGACCCCATCATCAGCAACCACAGCTAGCTTCCCCTCCTTGATGATGTACATCTCCCTACCAATATCCCCCTTCTTACAGATGTAATCTCCAGGACTGAACACTTGTGGCTGCAGCTTGAGCACCAATTCAATCAGCAGACCGGCTTCACAATCTTGGAAGATACGCACTTTTTTCAGCGTATCCAAATGGACGTTGATGGCAATCTCAGCCTTTAGCTTGTCTGGGAGGTTCTTCAAAACTTCCTTCTCATCGCAGGTTTTCTTTTCGGTCCACAAGTAGTCAAACCACTTGATGACCCTGGCCTCCAGGTCTTTGGTGACCTTTCGGAACTGCATGTACTGCTTGATGGAGTCGATCTTCGCCTGGAAATCAGCTCGAGAGGCGTTCATGTTGGAGATCATGGCACCAACGTTACCGACGATACTAGCGAAGATCAGCACACCAGTGAGGAAGTCAGAAATGACAAAGAGGTATTCAACATCCCTAACTGGTGGAGGCGTCTCTCCAATAGTGGTGAGGGTCAGTGTGGACCAATACAGGGAGTAGATGTACTTTCTGGCCAAGCGGCCGTGCTCAGGGTGGCTGATATTGGGATATACCCACGTGTCAGATCCAAAACCTATGGTTTTCGATATGGCAAAGAACATACAAGCATTCCAGTGGATAATAATGAGGATATAAAGTACGAGATTGCTAATACGAAACATGTTTGGAAAGCTGGTTCTGGTTTCAGTCCGCTCAAAGAACTCGAAAAGCCTAGAGATTTTGCAAAGACGGTTGAATCTGAATTCTGGGTTGTTATATCCAAATTTCAGAAACAGAAGATCAGTGGGTATCATTGAGATCATATCGTATTTGAACTGAGATGTTGTTCTGTATTTACTTCTCAGTTTCTTGGCATCTTTTACCAGCAGGCCTTGTTCCAGGTAACCTAAGGGGACAAACAGAAAAACTAAATTAGGAGTCAAATCCAAAACTACAATGGACACAAATTGGTTTACATATTTAAATTCTGTATTGAAACATGTGAAAGTATCCAACCTGTTCTTGATCTGACAAATGTGTCTCCTAAGTAGACTAAGTCTGAGGTGTAGTCCAAGACTATCCAGAGGTTTGTATACGAGTCCTGGAGTTCGTTAAAACAGGCTCTAGAAGACAAGGAGAATGCATTTGCAAAAATATTTTGGGAACGCGGAGTGAAGTTTTAACGGATGATAAATGGACAATACCTTGTCACAATCATTATCAGGTTATAAAATACTGGGCCTGCGATGACGGTCAGCCATTTGTAGTACTGGTCTGCAGCAGGATCCATAATCCAGATTTCTTTCCTAAAAACAACTCAACATTACTTGATGTTGTCACAAGATTTTTATTTTTTTTATTTTTTTTACATACAGTAAGAATGAAAAAGACGTCTGTTTATTGTAATAAAATGTCCTAGTCCCAATATGTATCTGATTGTATACTTACGGTGGCTCCTCTTTCTTTTTATCATCTTTTTTATCATCCTTCTTATCATCTTTCTTCTCGTCTTTCTTCTCATCCTTTTTCTCATCTTTCTTCTCATCCTTCTTTTCCTCTTCCTTCTTGTCCCCGTCTTTCTTCTCGTCTTTTTTCTCCTCCTCCTTTTTCTCATCTTTTTTAATCTCCTCTTTTTTCTCCTCTTTTTTGCTACGGACCACAAGTTTAGTTTTTTTATATTTGTGAAAAAGGGTGGAGGATATCTAAGCGGGACTGTCAGCGGGCTACAGGACTACAGAAGGAGGTCGTCTAGAGTTTGGGATTCAAGGCTTTGTTGAAAGAGCTGGTGCAGGTCATATATTTGTCCAGCAGATGGCAACGTAACACAGGTACGTTTCCATGTCTTCTTTCACTTCAAAACCACTATGAGCTAACAATCAGAATATGCCTGTACATTTTATATCTAAATATTGGCCAAAGGTAAAATCAGTTCAATCCACATCACAACTTGCAACAAAAGAAAATCCCTCAAGCAAGCAAAGGAACAAAGGTTTTATCTGTCTAATACAGGAGGAGACAGGAATGGAGAATTGGAAGACATGTTGTCTAAAGGACTATAGCTATGCTATTTACCGCAAAATATACCACATTAGCTACATGATACACCAGATGCTATGAATGTCCAGCATGATCCGTGACTCATTTTTCTATTCTACTTCTATTTTGATTCTATTTTTTGACAGATTTGCACACACTTACTCGTCTGTGTTGTTGCAGTTATTCATGTTGTAAGTAGCTAGCGGCCACTTACTGGCAAGACTTTGGAAAGAAATAAAGGACAAGTTTTTTGGACAGTGAACCCTCACAGTGTCAGACATTAAAGCACTGAAATGACACATACATTTTTCATTTATCTCTTGTTACATGCTAATGTCAAAAATCTATTTCACCTTGACCTATGGCGTGTTTACATAAATGTATCCAATCAAATGTGATTTAGGGTGTCGAGCTTACACCGTCCATCGTATAAAACCACACTTAATGGTTAACAAGTGGTTAGCTAGCAGAGAAATATAATAGCGTTAGGTATTAGAGTTGGTAGTTTTAATTAGTTTTCATTTTCATTTATGTTTTCAGTTCAGTTTTGTTTCAGTTAGTTTCCAGAAAGGGTTTGCTCGTTTATCTTTCGTTTTCACTGTGTCCTAACATGAGACAGATAATCTGTGAAAAGATCAGGTCCTTCTAGTGTTCCTAATGGCATTTCCAAGAATCCGCCAGACCTAAATGAAAACAACCAATTAGAGCAGAGAAAGATATAAAGACGCGTTGGGTTGGAAGCTTTGAGATAGCTGATTGTTGTATCTCATGCCCTGGCTCTACTTCAGCTTTAAGTTTTATATAAGTGTCAGTGTCAGTTTTAGTTTTTTATTATAATATGGGAGGTATCTGTCAGAATAAGTGTTACAATACAAACACACTGACTCACAGTCAAGTAGACCCTCCAGTCTCAATAAACATATGCACCAATGCCTCCTCATGCTTGTTGTGTTGACATATTGTTAGTTTTTAGTTCATAGTAGGAGGTATGTGCATTTGCTGTGGTTGAAGTCTTTATTCGTTTCACTTTTATTCACCTCCTGATCTAACAATGGCAGGTGAGCGTCAACAGTCTTGTTCAGCTCCATATCTCTTCACAGTTCTGTACCGTGCTTTGAAGCGATCCAGTCACATGTGAAGGAGTCGATTCAAATCCTTTTTGTAACCAAACCTAATCCACATATTCTGTCTCACTTGGAATCATTTCATCATTCAGCTCAGTTTGACTCATCAGAGCTTTGAGGAACTGACACTCATGTGATTAATTGTACTGTCCGGTGGGTTTGTTTGTCATTTCAAACAGAGAGATCACTGTCAGTGTGAGTCCAGAAAAATAAACTGTGCACCGGCAACGCTGCCACACAGTCTAGTACTTACTTTCTCTTACGGATTGTGTCGTTGTAGCCCACAGACTGGGCATTGCTCTCTCGACTGGAGATGTCTTTGAGCTCAGGGCCTCTGAAGCGCTCAAGGAAAGAGTCATGTCTCTCCACTTCAGGGTTCACTCTGTGAGACGCCCAGTTCCACAGCATGAAGAAGAAGTAAGAGAGCCTAGAAGGTTAGCGGGAGGGAAAACGGAACAAAGTGACAGCCGTCTAGTCTAGGAACAGACTATTATAGAGATATACTATCTCACAGAATATGTACCAGTGGTGGAGAGCGTATTCAGACCTGTATTATGTAAATCAATGTATATATTTGTCAATATGATGCATCAAGGTGTAAGCAACATTCAAGGAGTACAATGAGTTTAGTCCAATGGTTCTCAACCTAAGGGTCAGGCTGCTTCAAAGGTAGATTGTGAGATGATTAATGGGAGTGGACAGAAATATTTCTGGATTTTTATTTATTTTTTTGTCTTCAGACTTTTTTGTGAAATATTGGACATTTGACCAGTTTGAGCCTCAGACAGTAATTTAAATGCAACCAGCTCATCACATGTTTGTATGTCTTTATATCTTAAATGTAACTAGTAACTAGCTGTCAAATGAATGCCAGTGGAGAAAAATAGTGCTAAATTTTGCTGTATAATATAGGGGAGTATAAAGTAGAATTAAATGGTAACACTCAAGTATGTCAAAATTGTACTTAAATACACTACTTGAGTAAATGTACTTTCCACCATTGGTTAAATACTGACTAAGAACTAAGACTAAGCAAAGTATTACTATTGAAGTTTACCTGGCCATTGCCCCAGCACCTGTAAAGGAGTCTCTGTGGGACTCCGAAGACAGCGCTCCCTCGGCGTTGTCTTCACAAAGGGAGTGAGCCCTGGAAGAAAAATTACAGTGACATGCTCAAGATCATGCCATACAAATGGTACCAGGTGACTTACAGGTACAGAAGGTACCAAAAATGTGTCCACAGTTGTTGGAACAGTTAAAGCATTTAGGCAACAATGCAAAAAAACACTGGTGTGGTAGAGAAGTAGTCAACAATTCCCCAAAAAAGTAGTACACATAATTTAAATCTTAAGAATTTCATGCCGATATCAGACCTGCTGTCTCCATTTTCAATGACAGCCAGCTCCTCATCATGTGTGTTGGTGGATAACTGCTGCGTGGCTAAAATGGACTTTTCACTGCAGACTTTTGCCATGTTGTCTCTGCTGGCCTGGAGCACACAAATACAGAAAAAAACACACTTTATGGCTGTAACGTTACAGCGAATACATCAGATTGTACAAACCATCATACAGCAAAATCCAGTAATTTCCCTTATGAGAGCAGTGTTGTTGATGTGTTTACTGAACACCACTTTTGACTGTCTGTCTGAGAGTAGTGCCTAAAAATACATCCTCATTATGTCCTTAACACTAAACAGGATCAGTGCTCTCTCTCTGAACGATCAGCTGGTTTTTTAAAATAACTAAGCTATGGCTTACAGGTAGACTGTAGTTTCTATGTTCGGTCGTGCATACACCAAGTTAAGTCTATTAGGGCACCACTTAAAGAACAGGTACAACTGGGCGTGGCTAGAGCCGAAGGGTCTATCCTAGGTTTCTGCCTTTTAACAGGTAGGTTTTCCTTGCCCTTGTTGCCAAGTGCTTGCTCATGGTGGTACTGTTGGGTCTCTGTAAATAATCTTATAAGGAGTTTGGTCTAGACCTGCTCTATTTGAAAAGCACTTTGGAAACCTTGTGTTTGTTAAAATCGTGCTATATAAATAAAGTGGATTGGATTGGATTGGCTGAGGGCACTGATTCTCTTCAGTTCTCGGTAAAGACGGTAGAAGCAGCCAGGTCAACCATATGCTCCTGTCTCCAGGAATTCAAAGCCAGGAAAACAATTCTAAAAATATAATGTGCAAAATTAGTCGGGGAGTGTTTTTTTACTTGTAAATAATGACTCACTGATCTCTGGGGAACACCAATGGTTGTAACACGTGCACTCATGTAGATTAGTGCTAATACCAGGGAGTTAACCAACCCCCACTGAATTAAATCACACTGACAATCACCAAGAAGCCAAGGCTTGAAGGGTGACAAAAGGTGAAGCCAATGGTGTGTCTGTACACTAAATATGAGTTACATAATCATCTCTGAGCCCTGCAGTAGTTTTCTTGAAAGAATGCATATTTGCAATAAGCTGAAATCAGTGCGATTGTTTGATTTATGTCTGTTTTTTTATGTTTCATCTGCATTCTCTTGCTTTCTAACATGACAACCACGGCCATTAATCCGTCACAGACTAGAGGATGATGGTGCAATTGTTCCAAAACATATTGAAATGCATAACACTTCCTTACTTTGTGATGAATATATATCTGCCATTTGAATGTTATTTTGAATCATGCTCAAATAAATTTTAAAATCCTATTAGCATTCTAGTGAACATGAGCAATATGACACAGCGTTTTTTTTCACAGATGGAATTTGAACATACAAATACAAGTTAAGAAAATACACAATACGTAGTCTCTGTATCCATGTCTTTATGTCCAGTAACTCTCTAAAAGAACTGAATTCACTGAGGCTCAAAAACCTGAGCCTGACTCATATCTGATATTTGAATATGAGGACGACACTTGCAAGTAGTGTCTGAGTTATCTGATTCAGCGATGTTGTAATTGTTGTTGTGTGTAATGAAGGACTCTTTAACATCAGGCCCAGTGTTTAAAAGATTGTTTTTGTTGCTGGAGATTAGTTTCTGTGCTGCACCAAAGACTCACTTAAGAGGCTTGAGACTTGTGGTAAGGTTGTGTGTTCATCAGGACTCCCCTATACCTGATATACTTTTTTATTCACCCCCAAAGAACTTATTATCATTATCCTCAATAATCATGCTTTTAAAGATGCTTTTCTTTTTTGCTGGTTTCTTCACAATCTCCAACAAAAACACATATCTTAAATAAGCTGTTAGGTCTGCACTGTTTAACTTATACACTAATGATTCAAATTACATTCAAATATCTTGTTCTGCTTTAGTATGTGCCTCCATGTATCAATCTATGTGATACTGATACGTGCTGTATCAAGTGCTGTTTCTGTTGTCTACAGTTTATGTTTGCTATAAATCCACTTATTTTTCTATTCTTTATTATTATTATTATTATTATTATTATTATTATTATTATTATTATTATCATTATTATTATTGTATTTATTCATTTATTTATTTTACATTTTTAGAATATAAAAGCCTTGACTTGCTTTAATTTGAATTATTTGATCATCTTCGACAGCGAACCTGTTGCTGCGACAGATGCAGAACACCTGAGAGTTCACAGATTATGCAGATTCCTTTTATAAAATGAGCCACAGCTATCCCAAATCAATACAATAATATTCTAGTAAAGTTTTTGTGAAAATACCGGAAATCCTGATAACCTCCTCAACTATTTTCTTTATCTAAAGAACTGTTTCATTCCCTGTAGCCACAGCGGACGCAGTCAGCTCACCTGTTTGAAGCCTTTTCACACTGAGTTTTTTAAGCCGACCAAACCAGCAGTTCCCCTCTGATTGCTTCCGTATAATCCCATCTTCAAAACTGAAATCAAATATATTTCTCCAGCCGAATATTTCCGATCCCTTTCGTCCGACCGCAGCGTCAGCACAAACATCGATGCCGGCTGTCCATATTTGGTAGCAGGAGCTCTGCTGGATGAGCACAGAGAGTACAGAGCTCACAGGTCTCAGATCAGACAAGGGGAGGAGACCTGTGCATCACTGGACCTGCCATCCACAACTCACAGCACTGACACAACAGGACAGTGAACATATAACGCATTTTAAAACTACAACCAGATATCACAGACACCAAGTATTATATGAATGCTGGTGTTATTTCATCAAGGGAAACTATAGTACAGATGCAGAGGGAACAGTAGTGTGTGATGTGTGTACAGTTTAAACCTACAGTGTATCAACCAGTGGTGGAATGTAACTAATCACATCTACTTGAGTATTTTCATTTTATGCTACTTTATACTTCTACTCTGCTATGACAGATGAAGTATGCAGATCCTTTAGACTTAAATACCCCCTCCAGACATGTTTTAGCATACATTGCTCTACTTTGAATAAACATTTGTATCTGATATGTTCTTTTCACAAAAAAAAAGTTTAGTTACAGTTTCAAAGTTGAGTAAAGTGAACACACTATTACTGCAGCAGTGTATTGAGTGGGATATGAACAGGCCCACAATGGATTTCAATTAGGCTGACATTTCTATCGAGCCTCAGTACAATATCCCCACTGCTGCCCTCTATTTATCCACAAAATATTGGTAATACAGTTTTTATTCAGCAAAATAAGTTTCATTTCAACATTAAAATCCTTAAAAAGGCATCCATGTCATTAAAAATTACAATCAAAATGCAAATGTTGTTCATTTCTAAAGTTTTCCTGCTGGACAGAAGATGTCTCCATACTTCACTGTAAAGTCCATTCTCAGTGGATGTGCACTGGTGGCTTCAAGTTTCTACGTCACACTGTACGAGTTGCATACTGGACCAGGATGGAGTTGGACAGAGCACAAAGAAATTTTCCACTTTCAGCAGATAAATGTGAAAACATCCTTTTAACGTCAAACTCTGCACATACATCAGTCAAACATCACACTGTAAGAACAAGAAGAAACTCAGATTTTTGAGTGGAGGGGACTTTAATAAAATTACAAGTAGATAAATATACAAATATGTAGCTGATGATTACAGGAAGTCTTTTTGATGACTTCTCTAACATCACTTTAATTACTGGTACGCCAAGAATGTACTTTTTTGTTTGTAAGTATAAGATTTATGAGAAAAGACTATTTATCCACACACAAAATAGCTTCTGAATGGGCCGCGTGAAAGGTCATATTATCTGGAAGAGTATCACTTGATGAACAATAGTTTGGGTGATTAGAGCCGACTGAGAGAAGCCTCCTACATCATAATGTTTCTCCTGTCAGCACACCAGCTCAGCGCCACAGTGTCACCTGGAGCCATAAGGTTAAAAGAGAAATCCCTTGGCAATATACGGCGCTGCACCACTAATCCCAGCTTAGACTTGAGTACCTATTTCAGCCACATAATGCCCCCTCATGGATGTGGTCACTTAAAGATATGTCACTTTTGTATAACATTTTCGGTTTTGTGTCCATATCGCAGTCAAATGATGAACACCCAGACTGCTCTAAGTTATCTGTGGTCACCGCTTTGGCATATTTTCTCTGACTGTCTTTGTATCCACTCAGATATTTCTAAAAATTGTTTATAAAAATCATCCCTTTTATTCAGATATGAACAATGCTTCTACTACTACTGCAGATCCTGATCGGGGTTTGTGGGTTTATGTGTGCGGCTGTGGTCATCTCAAACTGAAGGGAATTAGCACTGTAATAGACTTTAGGATTGTCCTCACTGAGAGTGGGTTCAGGGCAATCCATTAATGCAAAACGGTGTACTAGATACACAGAAAAGGTGCTTATATATAGAGGGTCTGTAGACACTAACAGCCAGAAATAAAATTTCTTTAAGCTACTCGACATGTTGCGTCTGATTTAATATAATCCTATGTCAAGACTTTTGTAGCATTGTGTCCTTTTAAGTACCGGATCATTGTTCAAACCAACTGTTACAGACAATACATAAAATATGTGGACAGAAAACATGTAAAGCTATAGCCAGAATCCCTTAATTCACTTAGATGCTGCTGTGGTAAAATAAAAGCAATCAGTGGTAGACCAATCACTCTCCCCTTGTCCAAACCTCATTAGGTTTAGGACTGTCTCCAGGTGCATAGAGATCTATTGAAAGCCTCTTTACTCTGCCAGAAGGCACATGGTAATTATTGCATCCTAAACCCTTGCTTTTTCAGAGTGCAGCGTGACACAGTGCAACAATTGTCTACTGCATGCTGGCTTTTGTGTGCATTTCCAAGTCAATCAGACTGTGCAGCCCCTTCATTTATAACCCTCAGCCATTCAACAATGAGCTGAATCCAAACTAATGTGATGAGTGTCTAATCAGGCCTGATCGCCAGCTGGTAGCACACGCTCCTCTGTAGCTCGTGTACATGAAAAGAAGGAGAGGAGAAAAGTGACAGAAGATGCTCACCATAGAGTATGCTGTTGTAAAGTTGAATGGTGTGCTCTAAAATCTTCTCTCCCAATGTCACCACGCTAGATGTAGCACAAGGACTTTTTAACTGGTCATAAAACAGTCTCAATTTAAAACTGATGCCTCTATAAGCACACAAGACGATTAGCCCCAAGATTGGCTATTTCTATATAGTTATTCATAATGTCTGCTCACAGGTCCAATTCTGTCTGATTCCATGAGACAACGGGTAAAGCTTCTGGGGTCTAAATCAGAGAGCAGGAGAACAATACTGGCAAACAGCGGTGGAGGAGCCTGGCTGGGTTTGTGTGGAGAGGATTCATTTCCAAACCCACAGCAGAATTAGCCTGATAATCAGACTGAATTGCCATTTAAATTTCACTTCATTATTTAAATCACTGTTTAATAAGGCTATTTGAATTGCTGAAAGGACTCGATGTAGGCAGTGATTCAGAGATCTGGAGCCAAGAGTTTACAGCCATGTTAGCATCTTTGTGAGGCTGTACTTAGGCTTTACCCTTTTTACATTCTTAGTTTAGCATGTTAGCATGCATACATACAACATACATGCTAATTAGTACTAGTAGTAATTAGTAGTAGTTTTTGACTTGATAATGGAACTAGATTAAAAGATACGTTATTACAGTTAAACCTGAGGGGAACAAGTTCATGGCAATCCATTCAATTGTTGTCACTCAAAGCCAAGAAGTAAAGACCTCATGGTGGCGCAATCACCAGCAGGATTCATCTTCTGGGGACCATGAATACACTTTGTGGCTGTCAATCAAAGAAATAACGGAGATTTTTCAGTCTGGACCAAAGTATGGACCAGCAACAGACCAACATTGCCATCTAAAGAGCCATGGGGCTAGCATGGCTAACGTGTGTATTTTAATGTTCTTAACCGTAAGAACCAGGGGAAATGATATCCACCTTTCTGACATGTTAGCAGTTCACATCACAGTAAAGAAAACTGGTATAAGTGAAACCCTATAGGATTATTTATATTCTTTACTATTCCAAATGCTGAGTTGTACGGAGCCCCTAAAGGGACATGGGGGAAAAAAAAAAAAAGAAATGTTTCTAGTGCGCACTAGATACTATCTTGTGCGCACTAGATAGTATCTAGTGAGCACTAGATACTATCTTGTGTAGATACTACCTAGTACTACCTAGTGTGCACTAGATACATCAGTGTTGTGGCGAATCAACACATGGCTAATTTTAATATTCAAATGAATATTAAACTAATTTGTCTGTAACTAAAAAATAAATGTAAATTAATCTGTAACCTCTTTTGTTACAGTCCACATTTAAATGCCCTGTCCTGCAGCCGGACACTCATTTGTCCTCCTTTTGAGAAAATAACAAAAACAGTCCGCCTTTTGACACATTACCTTGTTAGTTTAATACTTATTGGCTTAAAATGTGTGTCAAAATAAGTAATTTCATTGGTTACATTTTCGTGTTGTGACCTATCAACACATGGCTAATTTTAATATTCACATGAGCCATGTGTTGATTGCCACAACACTCCATCCATATCTTGTGTGCACTAGAAACGGATCTAGTGCACAAGATAGTATCTAGTGCGCACTAGAAACGTTTCATTTTTATTTATTTTTTCCATGTCCCTTTAGGGGCTCCGTAGGAGTTGCAAATTAGAAACTAAAACAAAATAACTAAATGGCTCCACAAAACAACCACCAAATAATGAATAAATGTCAAATACAGATAATAGCAATGGCTGAAAAGGTGTAGGCTAAAGCCAGAGTCTATTATACCCAGCACAAAAACAGCCAACCAAAACATTAAAACTGCAAGTGGGGAAAACCAGCCACTCCAAGTATATGTGATCCACTGTTGATATAAAATAAATACAGATTATAGCTGTGTTTAAAAATACTTATGTATTTTCTGTAAGTTAAAAGGCATATTTCAGGATAGTCAGTAGTGAGACCCCAAGTGGAAACATCGTCTCAGTCTCTGGCTAATGTGTGTCCAGAGAGTAAACACATCACTGTACACTGTTGCTATGCAGATTGGTACGTGCTTTGAAATGCGTTGAGAGGGTGAATGGGAGTGACCATCTCTATATAGGTCTTTATATTAGTAATTCAGTTATTTCAAAGCTGAGTCAAAGTGCCAAAAAGTTCTTGTTAAATAGACTTACTTACCAAAGAAACCAACAACATGAAATCATATTTGTAATGAAAAAAGGATAAAACATACCATACATGCCTGTAATGTAACATTAGAGCACAAGCTACATAATAAGTAGGCCCTCAGATGTGTCTTGGCAGCCAATATCGGTTTAAGTGGCCGTGGCGCTGCTGCGAGTCCTCTTGTGCTGATGAGTTGTACCCTGTTCATCAGATGCTGGGGATGATAACTTGTACCTTGTCATTGTTTTATACTGAACAGAGAGGATGATTTATCCTCAGCCAAACACTTACACAGGGTTGCTATAACAACCTCAAGGAGAAATCTGTTGGCCTTAGACGTCAAACACAACATGCCAGAAATGAGGAAAACCTGAACTCTAGTCTACAGTCCCTACATGCATGAGAGTTTTTCATTGATTTGTTTGTTTCCT